CATACTCAACAATATATGTAAATGTATTCATATTTATTTGTAGATTATGTATGCATATGCTATCAAATATAAACAGTATGTACGTAATGATATAAAACCTACACAAAAAATTAAAAGTTAAGATAATATAACATCAAAATAAATGCAAATAAAAGTTCCCACAGTTCAACAAATAATTTTGCACATAACTACTTTTGAAGACCAATGGTCTAAATTATTATTATAACCTTCTGAGCGACAGTAGTCTTCTTCCTTCTGCAAGCCATTCTGCACACTGCTGATAGAGTACTCTTTCTCAAGTATGGACCAGATCATGTCATGCCTAACCAACTTCAGGATAAAATCCAAACATACAAGGCTTTTCATAGCATATCTCTGCCTGTATCTCTCTAGCTTCTACCCTCATCATGCGTCATATATTACTGATCCATACTATACTACTTAGAATTTTCCCTAGCACTTCATTCTTTTCTTATGCATTTCCCTCTACCTAGAATGCTGCTTCTCTGCTTTTTCACCAGATTAGTTAGTATTAGTTTTTATTCCTCAGTGGTATGCCTTTTCTTACCATTTAGCCTACTATGGTAATTTTTTAATTTGCCTATCTTCCTCAGTAGACTATTAGACCTTCCAGGTAGATATTATAGATTCTCAGTGCCTATGCAGATTATAGGTTTTTAATGAATGTTTCTTAAAAGGAAGAGTTCATTAATATCTTTTTTAATGAATTAATATGTTTCTTCTCATTCACCCTGCTTTTCAGTAGTCATTGATATTCATCACTAAGAAAAAAAACAGTAATTTCCTTTTATTTTTGTTTTTCTGGTTTTTTTTTTGAGACAGAGTCTCACTCAGTTGCCCAGGTTGGAGTGCAGTGGCACAGTCTTGGCTCACTGCTCACTGCAACCTCTGTCTCCTGGGTTCAATAGATTCTTGTGCCTCAGCCTCCCAAGTAGCTGTGATTAAAGACTTGTGCCACCACACCCAGATAATTTTTGTGTTTTTAGTAGAGATGGGGTTTTGCCATGTTGGACAAGCTGGTCTCAAACTCCTGGCTTCACATGATCCACCTGCCTCAGCCTAATGTTTTTTACTGTTTTTGTTTTACTATAAGTATTATAATGATGAAAAACAATTGTATTTTTGTTTCTGCTGTGTTCTTTTTGCTTAAATATATCTTAATATTTATTTTCATTAAATCTTAATATATTTTCTTATATCCTTAATAATCTTAATAAATCTGAGTATAAATCTGAAGGTGTAGAACACATATGTGTATACTCGGTATAGAACAATAAACATGATCAAATGCAGTTCCACAGAAACAGGGTTACAAATGAATGAAATGGAAGACAAAGAGATGCAAGAAAATAATGAGAGGCAAAGGTCATGCATCACCCACATTCTGAAGAAGATAATGAACCTTTTAATGAAGTATAACCTTTTAATGAAAGATTTTACATTATCTTTTATTCTTTTCTGTGTGTGTGTACTACACTATTCTTTTCTGTGTGTACTACATTAGTGGGCTAAAGGGGTCTTTTAGGGCAACTGAGAACTTTAATACCATTTCTAATATATATAAGAGGAAATGTGTTTTACTGTCCTTATAAGATTTAGAGGTGAGTTTTAAAATCTGAAGTCCATAAATATTGGGGACCAATTGTACTATGGTGTCTTCTATGTTATTATCATTATGCATCATAAATGACATCAACAATCATACTAGTACTCACCGTTCTTCCCATCACCATCAATTCTCAGAAAGTTTTTCTCAGTAAAATTGTACTATAAACTAGTAAAGCACTATAGAGCGTATTTGTAAGCAATCTGAAGACACCATCTTTCCTTCTATTTAGAGTTGATTTTCCTTACTTGGAATCCCCCAGTCAAAATCAGGGAAATTCTTGTTTGAAGAAAGTGGTCTTGGTGTTAACACTTCAACACTAGCATACCAAGAATGTCTTGAGTCAGTGTTTTATGATTTATGATATTTTTATTGTTAAGTAATATCACCATATCTGTATAAGAACATTATGCAATTCCAAAACAAAATAAAAGCACTCGAACCAAATGAACAATTTAATATTATTAAGCTTGCTGTCTTCAGATCATTGTCTTCTTCAGAATGTGGGTGATGCATGACCTCTGCCTCTCATTATTTTCTTGCATCTCTTTGTCTTCCATTTCATTCATTTGTAACTGTTTCTGTGGAATTGCATTTGATCATGTTTATTGTTCTATACCGAGTATACACATACGTGTTCTACACCTTCAACATACATTTACTGAAAAATTACCATGTTTAAGTGACCCTAGTGTCAAGTTCTGTGGAAGACAGAAAGATGAAAAAAGTTAATCTAACATGTATGAAGGGTAAGAAAGATAAAAAATAAAGATAGCTCCAAGATTTTTTAATTAACCTAATAAAAATAGAGCTAATGATAAACTGATGTTTGCAAACATGTAATAAAATCAACCGACATACAGTACAAAATTCTCATTAAGACTTATTTTATTTGTAGAAATCTTACTATTTTAGCCTCAAATTAGAAAGAACTTGGTATATTTATATTGGGAAATGAAGAACAGTATAGTCATAAACTGTAAACTTCTTAAAAATGTATCAAGAGAGAAAGTAGATTAGTGGTTCCCTAAGGTTGAATGTAAGGAGCAAAGGAGAAAGTTGGAATATGGGGAAGATGGAGAGTGACTGGTATGGACACAAAGTTTCTTCTTGAGATAATGAAAATACCCTAAAATTAGATTCTGGTGATAGTTGCACAGCTCTATACTAAAATCATTGAATTGTACACTTTAAATGTGTAGACTTAATGATATGCAAGTTGCAAATCAGTAAAATTATATGTTATTAAAATTAAAAAAATAAAATCAAAGATTATATGCTTTTTTCATCTCTAACACAAATGGAAAGGATGGAATTTTAAATCTAAGCAAGCAACTCAAATCACTATATAAACTTTTGCCAGAACTCATCTTTTTTACTTGGTACGAGTTCTTAGAAATATGTGTATAGGATGATTTTTAACACTATTCATTATTATTATTATCATTATTCTTTTTAGAGACAGGGGCTCACTGTGTTACTCAGGCTGGATTGCAGTGGCACAGTCCTAGCTCAGTGTAACCTCAAACTCCTGGGCTCAAGTGATCCCCTCATCTCAGCTTCCCAAATAGCTGGAACCACAGCCATGTGCTACCACACCAGCTAATTTTTGTGTTTTTTGTAGAGACAGGGTCTCACCGTGTTGCCCAAACTGGTCTCGAACTCCTGGCCTCAAGTGATCCTCCTGCCTCAGCCTCCCAAAGTGCTGGGATTACAGGCATGAGCCACCATACCTCGCCTTAACATTATTTTCTAGAGTTTTGTCTGCATTTCTTTATCTGATGTTGGGAAATATTAATATATAATAGAACTATTTCTGCCCTATGATTTTATTTAGACCACAGTTACCTTACTTTTTGTCATTATAAAACATCCATCTTGGAGTCCATGGATTCTACAATTCACAGATTAATAGGTTAACTGATATAAAACATGAAAATGCAATAAATATGACAATGTTAAGTTACTAGAAATACAGAGAGGGTCTTTGGAGCAACATGTCTTTTCAAAATTATTAGCAGTTCTTTTTTTTTTTTTTTGGAGACGGAGTTTCGCTCTTGTTACCCAGGCTGGAGTGCAATGGTGCGATCTTGGCTCACCACAACCTCCGCTTCCTGGGTTCAGGCAATTCTCCTGCCTCAGCCTCCTGAGTAGCTGGGATTACAGGCACGCACCACCGTGCCCAGCTAATTTTTTGTATTTTTAGTAGCGACGGGGTGTCACCATGTTGACCAGGATGGTCTCAATCTCTTGACCTCATGATCCACCCGCCTCAGCCTCCCAAAGTGCTGGGATTACAGGTGTGAGCCACGGCGCCTGGCCCTATTAGCAGTTCTTTAAAGAAATATGCCACTTCCCCCCACCATAGTTAAAAGGAATAGATTTTATTATTAAAATTATTTCTTAAAAGTAGAATTGGGCCGGGCACGGTGACTCACACCTGTAATCCCAGCACTTTGGGAGGCCGAGGCGGGTGGATCACGAGGTCAAGAGATTGAGACCATCCTGGTCAACATGGTGAAACCCCATCTCTACTAAAAATGCAAAAAATTAGCGGGGCACGGTGGCGCGTGCCTGTAATCCCAGCTACTCGGGAGGCTGAGGCAGGAGAATTGCCTGAACCCAGGAGGCAGAGGTTGCGGTGAGCCAAGATCGCGCCATTGCACTCCAGCCTGGGTAACACCAGCGAAACTCCGTCTCAAAAAAAAAAAAAAAAGTAGAATTGAGATATTTCACATGTAATTTTAAATATTAAAGGCCAGTGCAATAAGTTATGGTAATGCAGAGCATCAGAGGGAGTGATTTTTTTTTTTTTTTTTAGTACAGAAGCTTGACCTTTACTCTAGACATTCTCTAAGTTTTATATATCTTTTTCATTGCCACTTTCAATTAAAAACCTCATTTCTGTTTTATATTATAATACGTATTATGTTGTTTGAGGTAAACTCTGATACTTCTTAAAGTGATATGGTAATTATTTTTGTAATATTTCAACTAATTTTCTGATTTGTTGTAATTGGAAAATATTTGTAAGAGTGGAGACAAGCTGTAAATTGCTGTATTGTGGTCTTTTCAAGCAAGTATTATCATGTAACTCTTCACTTTTATAGCAAGAGCTAAAAACCATAACTGCAGTAATCAGTATATCCCGGTTATGTTACAGAGATTTTAATGTTGTTACTTGCATAATTCTGAGTTGGGGGGTATTGGTCTTTTACTACTGGTAACCGAAAATATTTGACTCTATATTTTTTCTGTTAATATTTATGTATAACTAGGAAATAATATCTATTTTCAAGTATACAAACACATTTTGAATATTTCGAGCAGCATTTCACTTTTAAGCTTTAATTTTCTCCTTTCATTTGCCTAGTGTTCACTTGGCAAGAAGAGTCCTTCAATTAGAGAAGCAGAACTCGCTGATTTTAAAAGACCTGGAACATCGAAAGGACCAAGTGACACAGCTTTCACAAGAGGTAAATAATTTAAACAAAAATAACCCATAGGAAGAATCACAGTATGAATTTAATTCTTTGTAGCTCTTTTGTTTGTTTTTTTGAGCAGTTTTTAAATAAGCTGTTTGTACAAAATGATTTCACAATTTATGAAACTGACTGAATGTTAAGGCCATGTAAAACAACTGACAGCGAATGGCAAAACTGAGAACAAAAGGGAGGTTAAATGCCCAGACTAAGTAAAAATGCACACTAGACAAACAATGCTTTGATTTCTGATAATATCAACTGGTGAAACAAGTTTGGCAAACTTTGGTGACATTTTCAGTTTTTTACTAATCATTATTAAAATAGATTTGGTTTTCACCTCTGTGTTTAATGAAAAATTACTTCTTTGTTAAATTTAACTCTGTTTACACTTTAAAAATCAGGTTCATATTTCTTTTTCTCAGCTTTATGGCATTTAAAGACTATATATTTATACATATATGTGTATATATACATTTTATATAGCAATTTAATCATCTTCTATGTCAAGATCTAATTACATTTTTCTGTAGTTTTGAAATTCAAGTCATAAAACAATTAAAACCAAAGGTACTGCTTCACTAATGTTCCTTTTATTTGTTTATTTAATGTTCCTGAGTGTCAACATAAGAAGTTTTTTCTGTTTTGTTTTTGTTTTTATTTTTGAGACAAGGTCTGGCTTCTTCGCCAGGCTGGAGTGCAGTGGCATGATCACAGTTCATTGCAACCTCCACCTCCCAGGCTCAAGCGATGTTCCCACCTCAGCCTCCTGAGTAGCTAAGACTATAGCTGTGCACTACCATGCCTGGCTAATTTTGGTATTTTTTTTTTTTTTTTGGTAGAGACAGGGTTTCACCATGTTGCTCAAGCCAGTTTTGAACTTCCGGGCTCAAGTGATCCACCTGGGTACTGGAATTAAAGATGTGCCACTGCATCCAGCCAAGAAGTTAATATTTTAAAACTTTTACAAGTTACTTATCTTATAATAAAGGGATTTTTAAAGACATACATTAAATAAAGTTAATATATGTCATGTATTCTTTATTTTCTTAAGGATCTGTTTATAATCTTTACATTGTCTTTTAGTACTGTAACATCAGGAGGATCTTTATTCTCAAATTTCAAAAGACCAGAAATATTTCATTTTACTGCAGTACCTGACACATAGTTAATGTTCAGGGTAGAAACAGTAGTGTGTTGGTAATTGTTAACAACCAGGTTTCCAAGAGGGATATTAGGGACAGCTCGATTTGCAGCATGGACTTGTGTCTGTTGTATTATAAATATTCCCACCATGGCTAACTTCAAACTGCCAACCTGAGGTTACTGAAGATGGAGTAAAGAGTGTCAGCAGCATACTAGTACTTAATGTTTGCACCATACAGATACAACAAACGTGAGTAAACTCAAGCACGTAGAAAATAGTAAAATAATTTTAAATTGACAAATTTGATTATTTTTACCTTTGTTTTTAGTAAAATGTATTTTACTATAAATATAAGTAATTTAGTTTTTAATGGTATTTGTTTGACAGCCAGCTCACAAAGTTCCTAAAAATTCTCTAGATTTATTTGTGCTTCATTCTTTTCATTAATTTCATTATGTGGATGTACCACAGTTTGTTTATCCATTCACTTGTTGATGGACATTGGGATCATTTCCAGTTTTTAGCATAAAGCTCATATGAACATTCATGTTCAAGTCTTTGTATGAAATAATAGAGAACTCCTACAAGCTGCTGTAGCAAACTCCAGAACACCACTGGGTGAAAGAAAAGATAAATAAATGAATAACTAAAGAAACAAATGAACCTCTGTTTGCTAATATACTGTAGACCCCTCATGTTGGCTTTAATTTCACAATAATTTTCAAAAATATTTTTTAAAAAATAAAATACGAAAATACATGCCTTCCTGAGCATTTCAGTTAATTGAAATAAGAATTTCTAGGGCTGGGCACGGTGCCTCAAGCCTGTAATCCCAGCACTTTGGGAGGCCGAGGCGGGTGGATCACAAGGTCAAGAAATCAAGACGATCCTGGTCAACATGGTGAAACCCCGTCTCTACTAAAAATACAAGAAAAAATTAGCCAGGCATGGTGGCGCGTGCCTGTAGTCCCAGCTACTTGGGAGGCTGAGGCAGGAGAATTGTTTGAACTCAGCAAGTGGAGGTTGTGGTGAGCCGAGATTGCGCCATTGCACTCCAGCCTGGGTAAGAAGAGTGAAACTCCGTCTCAAAAAAAAAAAAGAATTTCTAAATGTGAGCTGGATACAGTGGCTCATGCCTATAATCCAGCACTTTTGAAGGCCAAGGTGGGAGGGTCTCATGAGCTGAGGAGTTTGAGCCTGGGCTAAAAATTCCTTTATATCTAAAAATAAAGGTGCAGTGGCTCATGCCTGTAATCTCAGCCCTTTGGGAGGCCAAGGCAGGTGGATCACTTGAGGTCAAGCATTCGAGACCAGCCTGGCCAACATGGTGGAACCCTGTCTCTACTAAGCATACAGCAGTTAGCTGGGCATGGTGGCATATGCCTGTAATCCCAGCTACTTGGGAGGCTGAGGCATGAGAATCACTTGAGCCTGGGAGGCAGAGGTATCAGTGAGCCCAGATGGTGCCGTTGCACTCCAGCTGGGCAACAGAGGGAAACTCTGTCTCAAAAAAAGGAACAAATTTCTAAATGTGAACAAATTTCTATAAATTGCTGGGAGAAAATGTAAGAAACTAAGTGTTAAATGCTCCTATAATTAAGTATAATTCACTTTGTATAAAGTCATTTTTAAATAAGCAATGGCTTATATTGAGAAAAAGACTCACATGCTGAAATATTTATGATATAAAAAGATATGGTACCTGGAATTTGCTTTAAAATATTTCATGAGAAAAGGAGGAAGGGCTCAATAAAACAAGAATCACAAAATGTTAACGAAACTTTGAGCGATGACGTTTACATATAGGTTTAGTACTCAGTTCTTCTGTATTTTTGTGTATGTTTGAAAACATTTCATAAGACATTTGGAGAAAGAACCAGTAACCTTATATTAAAGGATCTATGCCAACCTCAGTATATAACTTTTCCCTTAAGATTGAAAATAAAGTATTTAATGTATTCCATGGATCTTACTTTTTTCTGCTTCACAAAAATTATATTGCTTACACTGAAAATAATTATATAAGCTAGCTGAATGATTAGTATTAGTATTAGATTGCCATTATAACAATAGACTATTCATAATAGATGGTGAAATAATAGAGAAAATTCTCTCAGGATCTCTATTCTTTATTTATTTTATTTTATTTTTGAGACAGAGTCTTGTTGTCTCACCCAGGCTAGAGTGCAGTGTTCTTGGCTCACTGCAACCTCTGCCCCCGACTTTCAAGTGATTCTCCTGTATCAGCCTCCTGAGTAGCTGGTATTACAGGTGCATGCCACCACGCCGGGCTAATTTTTTGTATTTTTAGTGGAGACAGGGTTTCACCATGTTGACTGGGCTGATTCAGGATCTCTATTCTTTGGATCAGGTTAAATATTTACATCAGTTTGGCCTTTTTGATAATACAAATAAAACACAAATAACTAATGTTAAAATTAACATTGAGCTAAATGCTATTCAGATGATATCTGAGGTTATACATAAGTGAACTGACAAAATGACAATGCTAAGTAATACCCAAAATAAAAACAAATATTCCCCCTTTTAGCAGCTTTATTGAGGTATAATTGATAATACAGTAACATTTGGCACATGAATATACCCATGAAACTATCACCAAAATGAAGATAATGAATACATATATCTCCCCAAAAATTTCCATGTACGCCTTTGGAATTCCTCCCTCCCAACTCTCCCAGTCTCAGTCCCTAAGCAACTACTGATTTACTTTCAGTTACTATAGATTAGTTTGTATTTTCTAGACTTTTATATAAGAGGAATCTTACAGTATATATATACTTTTTAATCTATCTTCTTTCACTCTGCATAATTATTTCAAGATTTATTTGTAGTTCTTTATTTATTTATTTTAGATGGAGTCTTGCTCTGTTGCCCAGGCTGGAGTGCAGTGGTGTGATCTCGGCTCACTGCAACCTCCACCTCCCAGGTTCAAACAATTCTCCTTCTTCAGCCTCCCAAGTAGCTAATTTTTTTGTATTTTTAGTAGAGACGGGGTTTCACCATGTTATCCAGGATCTTCTCGATCTCCTGACCATGTTTATTCACACACCTTGGCCTCCCAAAGTGCTGGGCTTACAGGCGTGAGCCACTGTGCCCAGCCTATTTGTAGTTCATTTTTTTCATTACTGAGTAACATTTCATTGTGTGGGTGTGTCAGTTTGTTTATCCATTCACTTGTTGATGGACATTGGGATCATTTCCAGTTTTTGGAGTAAAGCTCATATGAACATTCACATACAAGTCTCTGTATGGACATACACTTTGATTCCTCTTGGGTAAATATCTAGGAGTAGACTACCTGGATCTTATGGTAGGTGTCTATTTGACATCTTAAGAAACTGCAAAACTGTTTTCCCAGATGTTTGTACCATTTTACATTTCCACCAATAATGTATGAAAGTTCCAGTTTTTCTACATCCTTGCCTTGATGTGGTTAGTTTTTTTATCCACTATGGTGGGTGTGTAGTGGCATATCAGTGTGGTTTTAATTTGCATTTCCCTAGTGACTAATGATGTTGAGGATCTTCTCATTTGAGCTTTGCCCTCTGTTTATTTTCTTGGAGAGGTGTCTCCTCACATTTTGTGTCTGTTTTATCAGATTGTTTGTCCTCTTATTCTTAAGTTTTGAGCATTATTTATATATTCTAAATACAAGTTCTTTATCAGCTAAATGATTTGCAAATATTTTCTCCTAGCCTGTGGCTTACTGTTGCACCTCTTAATGGTGTGTTTTTATTTTTACTTCTTTATTATTATTTATTTTTAGAGACTGAGTCTTGCTCTGTTGCCCAGGCTGGAGTGCAGTGGTATGATCATAGCTCATTGCATCCTCAAACTCTTGAGCTCGAGAGCCTCAAACTCTTACTAGGACTACAGTTACCAGCAACCACACCTAGCTAATTTTTTTTATTTTTTGTAGAGACGAGATCTTGCTATGTTGCTCAGATTGTCTCGAACTCCTGGGCTCAAGTGATCATCCCACCTTGGCCTCTCAAATGCTGGGATTACAGGTGTGAGCCATCACAACCAGACAACAGTGTCTTTTGAAGAGATGCTTTTATCCAATACAGTTCATCACTTTGTTTTTTTTTATGAATTGTGTTTTTGGTGTTCTATTAAAAAATCTTTGCCTAGCCTAGGGTCATAAGGGGTTTTGTGTGTGTTTTCTTCTAGATGTTTTATAGTTTTATATCTGTGATCCATTGTTAAATTTTTGTATCAAGTAGAAGGTATAGATTGAAATTTTTATTTGCATACTTGAAACTCAACTGTTCTAGCATCATTTGTTGAAAAAAACCTTTGTTGAAAATCAGTTAATCATTTATTTGTGAGACTGTTCTGTTTCACTCATCTCTCTTTATGTCAATACTACATTATGTCGATTGCTGTAGCTTTATAATATCTGGACATCAGACAGTATTGGTCTTCCAATACTGTTCATTTTAAAAATTGTTTGGCTGTTTTTTCTTTGTATTTTTATATGAATTCTATCATCAGTTCATTCATTTTTTTCAAAAACTAGTTGTGATTTTGGTTGATATTACATTGAATACATAGATGAAGCAGAGAAAACTGACTTCTTAATATTGACTATTCTGACTCATGAACACACTGCATCTTTATGCTTATTTAGGTCTTCTTTAATTTCTCTTAATACTATTATTTTTTAGTTTTCACTCTAAAACTAAAAGCTGTCAACTGTTTGACATCTTTATTGTCAAACTTTTACAGTGAAAACTACAAAACAGTAGTATTAGCAGGGTGCATGTTTTTCCATCCTTCTTCTTTTAACCAGTCTGACATAATATGATTTGCAGTTGGAGATTTTTTTAGAACACTTAACAGCTGGTATATTTATCGATAGAGTTATATTTAAGGTTTTCATCTTGCTGTTGTTTTCTATTTGGCCCATCTACTTTTTGTTCACTTTTTTTTTCCTTGTCTTCTTTTGGACTAATTGAATTTTTTTATCATTTTATTATATCTTGTTGCTGCTTATTGGCTATAACTTTATCTTGTTATTTCAATGTTGCTTTAGATTATAGTATATATCTTTAACCACCATTTAGTTCCAAGTAAGTGATGTTTAGTAAAATATATGGCATACAAACCTTAAACAGTATATTTAAATTTGTTTCTCCAGCCTTTGTGTTCTTGCTGTTATACATTTTATTTATACATGTATGAACTCCCATGCTACATTGCTGCTATTATTACTTAAACAGTGATATCAGGCCAGGCACTGTGGCTCACGCCTGTAATCCTAACACTTTGACAGCCTGAAGTGAGTGGATCACCTGAGGTCAGGAGTTCGAGACCAGCCTGGCCAACATGGGAAAACCCTATCTTTACTAAAAATATATAAATTAGCTGTGCCTGGTGGCAGGTGCCTGTAATCCCAGCTATTCTGGAGGCTGAGGGCAGGAGAATATCTTGAACCTGGAGGAGGGAGGTTGTAGTGAGCCGAGATTACGCCACGTCACTCCAGCCTGGGCAAAAGAGTGAAACTCTGTCTCAAAACAATAAATTAAAATAAATAGTGATAATCCTATAAAGAGATACGGTAATATGAAGGAAATATGTTAAATTTAGCTAGTTACCGTACCTTGTGCTCTTTATTCCTTTTAGTCAGTCTGAATTTCAATCTGATATCTATTCTTTCTGGATGATGCACTTCCTTTAACGATTTTTGTTGAGCAGGTCTATGGTGATAAATTCTTTCTGTTTCTGTATATAGCAGGAAGTTGCTATTTTATATATTTTTGGTTTTTTGTTTTTACATTTCTGACTATTTTTGACAAAAGTCTAGATTAAAATACAATTTTCACAGATAAGCTATAAAGCCAAATTAACTGAAAGTAGGCATTGAAGGGTTTACTTTTTTATTGTGGTAAAATTCAGATCACAAAATTCACCATTTTAACAATTCTAAAGTGTGCAATTTAGTGGCTTATGGTGTGTTTACATTGTTTCATGTACATCACCACTATCTAAAGAACATTTTATCACCTGGGAAGGAAACCTTGTACCCGTTAAGCAGTCACTCCCCATTCCCCACTCCACCTCAGTCCGCCAGCAAGCAATAATGTGCCCTTTCTCTCTACGGATTTGTGTATTCTGGATATTTTATATAAATGAAATCATCTAATATTTGGCCTTTTGTGTCTGGCTGCTGTCACTTAGCATAATGTTTTCAAGGTTCATTCATATTTTACCATCTATCAGTGCTCAATTCCTTTTTTTGACTGAATAATATTCCATTGTACAGAATAATTACATTTTGTTTATTCATCAGTTAATGGATTTTTGTCTGTTGTGAATAGTACTGCTATGAACATTTTGTGTTCAAATTTTTTGTGTGAACACTTGTTTTCAATTCTTGTTGAGTGGAATTCCAGATGAAATGGTAATTATATGATTCACTTTTAAAGAAACTGCAAAACTTTTTCATAGTGACTATACCATTTTACATTCTCACCAGCCATGTCAAGGGTTCTGATATTTACATATCTTGCCAGTGCTTATTTTTCATTTTTTTAACTCTAGCCATCTTGGTGATTACAAAGTGGTATCTTACGATTTTGCTTTGCATTGCCCTAATTAGACTAATGATGTTAACCATTATTTGGGGTTCTTATTGGCCATTTATATATATTCTTTGGAAAAGTGTCTATTCAAGTCATTTGCCCACTTTTGAATTGGGTTGTCTTTCTGTTGTTGAGTTGTAAGAGTTCTTAATGTTTTCTGGACACAAGACTTTATCAAATATATCATTTGCAAATATTTTCTCCCATTCTGTGTGAATTGTCTTTCCCGCACTTCTTAGTGTTCTTTGAGGCACGAAAGTCTTTAATTTTTATAAAGTCCACTTTGTCTTATGTGTCTTGTGCTTCACCTTTGGTTTCATGGGATTTTTATTGAGGTGAAATTAACATGACATAAAATTAACCATTTTAAAGTAAACTATTTAATATTCATTCACATTGTTGTACGTTCACTATGTAGTCCTAAAACATTTTCATCACCCCAGAATAAAATTTTGTATCCATTGAGCCCTTAATCCCCACTCCTTTTTGCTCCCACCCTGTGACATCTGCCAACCACTTTATTTCTGTGGATTTACCTCATCTGGATATGTTTCATATAAATGGAATTATACAATATGTGACCTTTTGTGCCTGGTTTCTTTCACTGAGCATACGATTTTTGATGTTCATCCATATTGTAGCATGTTTCTAGTACTTTATTTCTTCTTATGGCTGAATAATATTCTGTTGTGTATATTTACCTTAATTTGTTTATTCATTCATCCTTTGATGACCATTTAGGTTATTTCCACCTTTTGACTATTGTAAAAGTGCTGCTATAAACACACAAATACAAGCAAATGTGTGAGTGCCTGTTTTCAATTATTTTAAGTGTTTACCTGGGAATGGATTTGCTGGGTTCACCTTTGTTTTTTAGAAAGATACTATCCCTGGGTAAGGAATCTGAGGTTGACTTTTCTCTCTGTCTCTCTCTTTTTTAGTAGTTGAAAGATGTTGCTTCATTCCCTTCTAGTTTGTGTTGTTTCTGCCAAGAGATTGCTGTCATCCTTACCTTTGTTCCTCTCTAGGTAATATGTATTTCTTTAGCTGCTTTTAAGAAATTTTTCATCACTGGCTTTAAGCAATTTGATTATCATTTGGCTTGCTGCAGTTTGCTTCATGTTTCCTGGGCTTGGATTTTGTTGAGCAGCTTATATATGTGAGTTTATGAAATTTATAAATTTCTTAAAATTCTTAAATCCTGCTTCTATCCTCTCACCTTCCTTAGGGGGCTCCAATTAGACATGTATTAGGCTGCTTAAAGTTATTCTACAACAGAACAAACGATGTTCTCTTTAGTTTTTTTCAGTCTTTTTTCTGCATTTCTTTTGGATAGTTTTTTTTTTACTATGTCTTCCAGTTCACTAATCTTTTCTTCACTACTGTATAATCTGCTTTCAGTTCAATCCAGCTTTTATCTCAAATATTGTAGTTTTCATTTCTAGAAGTTCAAATTGGGTCATCTTTGTGTCTTTTGGGTCTCTCTTTAACATTCTCAAAGTTTATTTTCTGGAACATGTGAAATATAATTTCAATAACTTTTTTATATTCTTGTCTACTAATTCTATTATTCTATTTGTCATTTCATGGCTGGCTTCAATAAAGTCAATTTATCTCATTATATATCACATTGTTCTGCTTCTTTGCATATGTAGTAATTATTTACTAGATGCCAGACATTGTAAATTTTACCTTGGTGTTAGATATTTTATATGCCTATACATTTTTGTTAGCTTTGTTCTGGAACATAGTTTTCTTAGAAATAGTTTGATCCTTCTAGATCTTGCTTTTAGGGTTTTTTTTCTTTTTTCTTTTTTTTTTGTGCCGAGATGGAGTCTTGCTCTGTCACCCAGCCTAGAGTACAGTGGTACAATCTCAGCTCACTGCAACCTCCACCTCCCAGGTTCAAGCAATTCTCCTGCCTCAGCCTCCCGAGTAGCTGGGATTACAGGTACAACACCACCATGCCCAGCCAAGTTTTGTGTTCGTAGTAGAGACAAAGTTTCACCATGTTGACCAGGCTGGTCTCAAACTCTCGACCTTGTTTTCTGCCCGCCTCGGCCTCCCAAAGTGCTGGGACTACAGGCATGAGCCACCACACCCCAAGCTGCTTTTAAGTTTCTTTAGACAGAGAAGGGTTTATCGTAAGGCCAATTTCTCCCCCATTACTATGACAAAACTCTTTCAAAATCCATGCCATGTAAATTATGAGATTTTCTACTTTAGCTGATTGAAATAAGCACTATACCTTGCCCATGTTCACTTCAGAATTGTTCCCTTGAATCTTGTTGGTAGTTCTGTCTCCTGTCCTTATGCATATGCACTGTTCTGTGCCAGGTGGATACTTAAGGGGGACTATCTGTAACAGTTCTGTCTCTTTGCATCTCTCTTTTCTTTAGTACTCTCCCATATGAACTGTAACCACCTTGGTTTTTACTTCTATCAGTAGCTCCTTAACCCAGGGAGTTTGATGGGCTCTGCCTTAATTCTCGTTCCTGGCACCACAGCTTGGAAGCTGTCTCTAGGCAATAAACTAAGACAGTGATACAGTTTACCTTGTTTGTTTCCTGTGTGTCAGGGATCACTGTCTTTCACTGCATAATGTCCCATGTCTTTTGACCATTGCTTCATTAGTTGGTCCAAAATAAAAGAGAAAAAAAGTAATTCTTTTTTGTGTACTGTGTATACCTACTAATTCTCAAGAAATCACCACTTACAGTTAAGAATCAAGTGTTGGTATGGAGTTTGTTAAACAGTAGAAAATTCAGAATCATAAATCATGCCGCATTCCCACCAACAATTGGTCTTTCTTAGCTGCCTTAAACCTTGATATTTGCTCTCCTTCTAGTTATTCAGTAAATACTTATCAAATTCCCACTGTATTCAACCACTGATGACAAAATAGACATGACTTTTCACTCCTAACATAACTAACCTTATTCACAAAGGCCTTATTTTCTACTGTAAGCACTCAGAGATTTATCTTTTACAACTAACTTAATTTAGGAAGCTCATCCAGAAAATGGGACATGAACAATCATCAGTGACCATAGCTACCTGGAATTTTGTACCTAGGCAGCATTGCTAGATTTGAAAGACGCTTCAAGATACATAGGCAAAATAAAGTAGACTAACTTTGAAATAAATTTATACTGTATTGATTGTTTTTCAAAAAAACAAATTGCAGAATAATTTCTATTTCTCTGGGTTTTAACGTGTGTGTGTGTGTGTGTGTATGTGTGTGTGTGTACACAGCATATACAGAGAGGATGGGATTGTGTTTCTTTTTAAACAGAGAAAAATGAAAAACTCTGAAAATATGTCATGCAAAGAGGACACAAACACCACTAGTCATGCATTAACAATATAAAATAAGCTTTATTGTTGTAAAGTAAGTACTTGAAGGGATAAAACATTTATCTCTGCCCTTTGAGTTGTCTGATCCATTCTTCTGCCTCTGACAACTGCTGTGAGTGTTCTTCCAGCATCCCCAGTGAGCCCAGTCTCTTGGAGTCTGTGGCACATACAACTCATAGGACCACACCTCAACATTTTTAAGGAGAAGACTCGTGTACCTACCACATGGTCCTAAAAGAACTAGATCTAATTAAAGTTCAAAGTCAACCATATTTCTAAGACTTCAATGCCATTGAAAAACAAAACAAAAATCCTCCACTATTTTATGTACCACTAAGAGGAATTCCTTAAGAGGAAGAGTGGAGGATGCTGCTAATTAAACTATGATACAAGGCTTTATTATCACTTGAATTTTTTCATTTAGACATACTTTCTTTTAGAGTTTAGGCAGTGATTTTTATCATACATTGCACAACTCTGTTTCTGTGTTTTTCTTCTGTTTCGATGATGAATCCATTGTGATCTTTTTAGCAACTTAAATGACAGTTGTACTCAACCTGTGAAGGACTAGCCATACTCAAAACTCAGTTGAAATAGTAATATGAACAGCCAAGACTAATTTTTTCGTGCATGGTCTTTATCAACAGCCACTATCAGATGTATCCTATTTTCATAGGAGAGATTACAAGTAGTATGATTTATAGGGTCCCTTTGCCTTTCAAAATGTTTATCTGTTTGTTGGTATTAAAAATCCTTTAGTAGGCCGAGTGCAGTGGCTCACACCTATTATCCCAGCACTTTGGGAGACCAAGGCAGATAAATCACAAGGCCAGGAATTCAAGACCTGCCTAGCCAACATGGTGAAACCGCATTTCCACTAAAAATACAAAAATTATCTGGTTGTGATGGTGTGTACCTGTAGCCCCAGCTACTTGGGAGGCTGAGGCAAGAGAATCTCTTGAGCCTGGGAAGTGGAGGGTGCAGTGAGCCAAGATTGTGCCACTGCACTCTAGCCCAAGTGACAGAGCAAGACTCTGTATCAAAAAAAGAAGAAAATCCTTTAGTAGACAACAGTGGCATTTATTTCATTACTAGAAACACAAGGCTTAAAAAATAACACTTAGATGAGAAACTACATTGCCTGATTTTTTTTAAATTTAGCAAGTAAACTTTAAATTCATCAGTCCATCAAAATTCTTTCTCTTACTGGAATAATGATCACCATAGCCTGGGAAGGTAAAGATGGGGAATGAAGAGAGGGTGGTTAATGGGTACAAACTTGAAGTTAGATAGAAGGAATAAGTTAGTAGTATTTAACTGCAAAATAGGATGACTATAGTTAACAATAATTTATTGCATATTTCAAAATAGCTAGATTCTAGATGTTTCTAATACAAAGAAATGACAAATGTTTAAAGTTATTGATGTCCTAAATATCCCTATTTGATTATTACATATTATATGCATGTATCAAGGTATCACATATACTCTATACATATATACAATTATGTATCCATTTAAAAATTAATAATTTTTTAAAAGTCATTCCCCATCCAAAACTGTCTTCTGTGCTGTCAATCATGACTTACTTTTAAATGCCCATTGCCTACAAGACAATGTCCAGATTCTTTAACATGGTGTAGATGGCCAGTGTGATTCTAATCTACTTCTTATCCTCATGTTCTGTCATCTCCCCTCTCCCCAAATCTTCACTGGCTGTCCCCTCCCACCACTTTGTTACCTTGGAACTTTTCAGTCTCCTTTGTTGACTTCTTTTTCTCTGGCTGTGTCTTCAGTGTTGACATGCCCCAGGGCTCTATCTTGTTTGTTTAGGGGAAAAGGGGGGAAAAGCCAAGAATTTTCAAGTTAGAAAGACTGGTTATATGACTTCAGGCAAGTCATCTTCTGTAAGCCTCATTTTTCCGAAGTATAAGGTAGAAATAAAAATAATACTGTATTGCATGTTTGCCCCAAAATGAGAGAGGGTTCATTCTAAGATAAGCACTTAGCACACTAACTGGCATATGTTAATCACTCGGTAAATGTAGGATCTTATTTCTGTTATAGGGTTTCATTTATTTTCCTCTTGCTAGCCATTGTATTAATAAAGTAAGTATTTTTCTAGTAAATCTGGCAATTTTTAAAGGAAATAGTAGTTTCAAAATTTGAGTAAATAGTGATTATTTTGCCTATATAGAAGTTTTAAGAATAAGCCTGGCATGGTGGCTCGTGCCTATAATCCTAGCACTTTGGGAGGCTGAGATCAGGAGTTCAAGACCAACCTGGCCAACATGGTGAAACCTTGTCTCTACTAAAAATACAAATAGTAATCAGGCGTGGTGGTGGGCGCCTGTAATCTCAGCTACTTGGGAGACTGAGGCAGGGAGAATTGCTTGAACCCAGGAGGCAGAGGCTGCAGTTAGCCAAGATCCCACCACTGGAGCATTCCGGCCTAGGTGACAGAGCAAGACTCTGTCTCAAAAAAAAAAAAGGAAGTATTCAGAATAAACAATAAAATATATTTTAACACAATAGCAACATTTTTAAATGGTAATTTAAATAATTTCTGTGAAGAGGTATGTGGTACTAAAACCTCAATTCTGAAGAATAATCAACTGCTCTTATCAAATGTAAAAGTGTATTTAATTGCATATATAGTAAGCATTTTAGGAGAAATGTGGAAAAGCTGCATTTTTGTTTTATTTATTGTTTAATTAAGACAAGTATTCCTCTGTGAATACCATATTATAGTGAATGTTCTTTCTTTTTAATTTCAACTTTTATTTTAGATTCAGGGGTACATGGGCACGTTTATTATCTGGTTTTGTTTGTTTGTTTGTTTGTTTGTTTGTTTGTTTGTTTATTTCTGAGACAGAGTCTTACTCTGTTGCCCAGGCTGGAGTACAGTGGCACGATCTTGGCTCACTGCAACCTCTGCCACCCGAGTTCAAGCAATTCTCCTGCCTCAGCCTCCCAAATAGCTGGGATTACAGGCTCCTGCCACTGTGCCCAGCATTTATCTGAGTATATTATGTGATGGAAAGGTTTAGAGTTTAATACTGTCACTCAGGTAGTGAGCATAGTATCCAACAGCTAGTTTTTCAACCCTTGGTTCCCTCTCCCTCACGCCACTGCTAGTTCCCAGGATCTGTTGTTCCCATCTTTATGTCCATTTATAGCCAATGTTTAGTTCCCACTTATAAGTAAAAATATGGAGTATTTGGTTTTCTGTTTCTGCATTAATTCACTTAGGGTAGTAGCCTCCAGCTGCATTCATATTGCTCCAAAGGACACAATTTCATTCTTTTTTATTGCTGCATAATATTCCATGGTGTATATCTATGACAATTTCTTTATTTAATCCACTGTTTATGGGCACATAGGTTGATTCCATGTCTTTGTTATTGTAAATAGTGCTGTGATGAACATATAAGTGCATGTGTCTGATAGAATTATTTATTTTCCTTTGGGTATGTACCCAGTAATGGGATAGCTAAGTTGAATGGTAGCTGTATTTTAAGTTCTTTGAAAAATCTCCAAACTTCTTTCCACAATGGCTGAACTAACTTACATTCCTACCAACAATATACAAGCATTCCCTTTTCTCCTCAGCCTCCCCACTTTTGACTTTTTAATAAAACCTATTCTGACTGATGTGAGATGGTATCTCATTGTAGTTTTGATATGCATTTTTCTGATGATTAGTGATGATCAGCATTTTCTGAAAAATGTTTTCTTTTAAAACAAAGAGAAGCTTCAAATTAACCTGAATTGTTATATTCAAATTAGAGAATATGAATTACTGATAAAATGAATTTGTTGAAAGTTAAGCAATAATAATATGTAAGACAAAAATGAATATAAACATATTATTTAAGAGTAATTATAGTCTATTATCAATTTTCAGTAAATATTATAACAAAAATAATCATGAATATATATGTGTGTGTGTGTATGTATATATGTGAATACCTAGTAATTTTGAGAGCTTACTTAATGCCAGTCATAGCACTTTAGAAACCACAGAAGTACTTCTTGGGCTAACTGGACTTCCAGAACACAAAACCCCTGAGTTGGCCAGTGTGTCCACACTTCTTGAGGCCTGAGAAGAGCTCTCCAACTGACTGAGCTTCCATTAAGTTGGCAGGTGTATCAGTCCATTCTCACACTGCTAATAAAGACATACCTGACACTGGGTACAATCAATAAAGGAAAGAGGTTTAAATGACTCACAGTTCTGCAGGGATGAGGAGGCCTCAGGAAACTTACAGTCATGGCAAAAGGGGAAGCCAACACATCCTTCTTCACATGGCAGAAGCAAGAAGTGCCAACCAAAGGAGAAAAAGCCCCTTACAAGACCATCAGACCTTATGAGAACTCACTCACTATCATGAGAACAGCATGAGGGTAACTGTTTCCATGATTAATTACCTCCTACAGGGTCCCTCCCACAACACATGGAGATTTTGGAAACTGCAATTCAGGGTGAGATCTGGATGGGGACACAAAGCCTAACCATATTGTTCCACACCTGGACCCTCCCAAATCTCATGTCCTCATATTTCAAAACACAGTCATGCCTTTCCAACAGTCCCCTAAAGTCTTAACTCATTCCAATATTAACCCAAGTCCAAGGCCAAAGTCTCATCTGAGACAAGGCAAGTCCCTTCGACCTATGAGCCTATAAAATCGAAAGCAAGTTAGTAACTTCCTAGATACAATGGGGGCACAGGAATTGGGTAAATACAACCATTCCAAACAGGAGAAACTGACCCAAAAAAAGGAGCTGTAGGCCCCATTTAAGTCCAAAATACAACAGGACAGTCAAATCTTAAAGCTCCAAAATTATCTCCTTTGACTCCATGTCTCATATACAGGTCATACTGATGCAAGAGGTGGGCTCCTACAGCCTTGGGCAGCTCTGGCCTTGTGGCTTCACATGGATCAGCCCCTCTCCCAGCTGCTTTCATGGCTGGCTGGGACTGAGTGTCTACAGCTTTTTCAGGCACACAGTGCAAGCTGTTGGTGGATCTACCATTCTGGGGTCTGGAAAACAGTGGCCCTATTCTCACAGCTCCACTAGACAGTATCCCAGTGAAGACTTTTTGTGGGTGCTCCAACCCCAAGTTTTCCTTCCACACTGCCTTAGCAGAGGTTCTCCATGAGGTCTCTGCCCCTGCAGCAAACTTCTGCCTGGACATTGTCATATATCCTCTGAAATCTAGGCAGAGGTTCCCAACCCTTCATTCCTGACTTCTCTGCACCTGAAGGCCCAACACCACATGGAAGCTGCCAAAGCTTGGGGCTTGCACCATCTGAAGCAATGGCCTGAGCTGTGTACATTGACCCTTTTTAGCCACAGCTAGAGCTGAAGCAGCTGGGGTGCAGGCGCAGGGCACCATGTCCTGAAGCTGCATAGTAGGGGGGCCCTGGGCCTGGGCCAGGAAACCATTTTTCTCTCCTAGGCCTCCAGGCCTGCAATGTGCGGGGCTGCCATGAAGGTCTCTGACATGCCCTGAAGACATTTTCACCACTCTCTTGGCAATTAACATTTGGCACCTTGTTACATAGGCAAATTTCTGCAGGAGGCTCAAATTTCTCCCCAGAAAATGAGATTTTCTTTTCTATCATATTGTCAGTCTGCAAATTTTTCAAACATTTTTGCTCTGCTTCCTCTTAAATGCTTTGCCACTTAGAAATTTCTTCACCCACAGTGTAAATTATTTCAGCCATTGTGGAAGACAGTGGTGATTCCTCAAGGATCTAGAACCAGAAATACCGTTTGACCCAGCAATCCCATTACTGGGTATATACCCAAAGGATTATAAATGATTCTACTATAAAGACACATGCACACGTATGTTTATAGCAGTAATGTTCACAATAGCAAAGAGTTTGGAACCAACTCAAATGCCCATCAGTGACAGACTGGATAAAGAAAAAGTGGCACATATATACCATGAAATACTATGCAGCCATGAAAAAGAATGAGTTCATGTCCTTTGCAGGAACATGAATGCAGCTGAAAACCATCATTCTCAGCCAACTGACACAGGAACAGAAAACCAAACACCACATGTTCTTACCCCTTAAGTGGGAGTTGAACAATAAGAACACATGGACACAGGGAGGGGAACATCACACACCCAGGCCTCTCTGAGGGTGGGGAGCTAGGGGAGGAATAGCATTAGGAGATATACCTAATGTAGATGACTGGTTGATGGGTGCAGCAAAACACCATGGCACATGTATACTTATGTAACACACCTGCACATTCTGCACATGTATCCCAAAACTTGAAGTATGATTAAAAAAAATTTCTTTCCCCAGATACCCTAAATAATCTCCCTCAGTTTCAAAGTTCCACAGATCCGTAGGGCAGGGGCAAAATGTCACCAGTCTCTTTGCATAGCAAGAGTGACCTTTCCTCCAGTTTCCAACAAGTTCCTCATCTCCATCTGAAACCACCTCAGTCAGCCTGGACCTTATTGTCCATATCTCCATCAGCATTTTGGTCAAAGCTCAAGGAGGTTCAACAAGTGTCTATGAAGTTTCAAACTTTCCCTCATTTTCCTATATTCTTCTAAGCACTCCAAACTGTTCTAACCTCTGCCTGTGACTCAGTTTCAAAGTGACTTCCACATTTTCAGGTATCTTTACATCAACACCCCTCTACCCAGTACCAATTTATTGTATTAATCCATTCTCATGCTGCCAATAAAGACATACCTGGGACTGGGTAATCTATAAAAGAAAGAGGTCTAATTGATTGACAGTTCCACAGGGCTGGGGATACCTGAAGAATCTTACAGTCATGGTGGAAGGGTAAGCAAACATTTCTTTCTTTACATGGCAGCAGCAAGGAGAAGTGCCGAGTCCCCGCCCCTAATAAAACCATCAGGTCTTGTGAGAACTATCATAATAATAGCACGAGTGTAACCAACTCCATGATTAATTACTTCCAACCAGGTTCTTCTGATGACACGTAGGGATTATAGGAACTACAGTTCAGGATGAGCTTTGGATGGGAACACAAAGCCTCACTATCTCAACAAGCATATCAGAGATTCAAAGAATTAGCAAAATTGACTCAATTGCAATCAGTCTACTCTTAGGTTCCTGATGGATATGTTATTAGCTATACCTAACATATTGAAGAAGAAAAACAAAAAACATACTGAGTACTGTAATATATGGTATTGCCACGCTTGAGAATCTCACATTTTCACTAAGGAATTAAGCTTTTGGAAAGCTGGCCACAAAATTGACCTGAGGCTGATTTGGAAGATTAGTGCTGATTTGAATGTAAATATAATCCTTTATAATTAAAACTGTTAATACTACCTAGACAAATAACTTTCATACTTTTTTGACCATGACCTATAATATGAAGTATACCTTACATAGCAGCCCAGTTCCCCAATATGTATTCTGTATTTGTGTATCTAAAACAGTATCCTTACCATGTGCAGTACATTCTATTAGTTGCTATTCTGTTCTGTTTTTTTTTTATTTCTTCTTTTGTTTTAACCCTGCTTGCAACATATGTGTGAAAACACTCATTTAGACAGATGTGTAATATTTTCTTAAGGAAGCCTTCATGAAAAATTGGTCTTACATTTGAAAAAGAAAGGTGAAAAAGTAAGAATGAATATAAAGCATGCTAGAGAAATATGGAGTCATCCAGTGTGAATGACTGTTGTATAAATATCTAGAATGCTTCCCAGATATATATGTCTACTATAAATAGGAGCAAGCTAATCCAACTTCTGTATCATTTTAAATTAACACTGTGTACTGCTGAAATAATTGGTATATACCTGTATTTTTGGCCTGACCCTTTTCTGACCCCTTGAGCAATCTTGAACAAATTGACTGTGGTTTTCTCAGTTGATTGGAATTAGTATCATTTACAAATTTGAATAATTCTAGTCTGTACTCTATTCCTTCGGATTATTTATAATACACCTATATGGCTAAGACTCAGAGAACACTAATACTTTTATTCTTTATCTAGAGAGATGTTTAAACCACATCTTCACAAAAAGGTAGCCCTCCAATTCAATAGTGATTTCCTTTGAAAAATAAGTATTATTTTGAACAGTATCAACTTTTTTGAAGGCCACGTATCCATGTGTTAACATTTTAATCACTCAGTTACATAGTTCTTGAAGAACTGCAATAAATAGCAAGAATTCCCATTGCAAAAACTGTGTAACTTTTTCTCAGATAAATTTGTTTATTTATGGCTTTTTATACACAGAGCACTTACCTTAGGTTAATTTATAAAAGCAGTGTTACTGTAAATCATTCTAGCCCATCATGCCATTTAGCTCACCATAAGAAATAAAGTATATTTGGTAATGATGTTTGTTAAGTGTTAGGCAGTACTAATATCAAATTCATTCTTTCAGCAAATATTTATTTTACCTATTATCAGCCAGGCATTTCTTCTAGGTTATGGGCAGATGAGTGAATAAGACACAAAAATTCCTGCCCTTTGGAGCTCATACTGGAGTTGGGGAGAAACAGATTTTTTTTCAAGTGAAATATATACTCAGTTAGAACCTGATGGGTTATATGAAGAAAAATAAGCAAGGAAGAAGGTTGTGGACAGTTCATACTGCCTGTAGTTCCCAGCCCAGTGGGCATGCAGGAGGCTCAGATTGAGTGCCATGGTTTTTAAGTATCTTCTGAAAGTGGCCAAACCAGCAAGGAAAATTAGACCTAATGCCATAGGGCATTAGACCTATAGATGCTGCATGAACACAGGCATTCTGGCAAAAACAATCGGACATCTCTAGTATGGAAGAATGGTTATGAAGCATATTTCTTTGTGGATAGTTAGTTGCCTTTATTTATCGTGTGTGTGTGTGTGTGTGTGTGTGTGTGTGTACAAATATCAGTGCGCACGTGCATGTGCCTTTAATACACCTTCTTTATCTTTGGGTTATAGGGGAGAGGGATTCTTTTTCTGGGTTATTTTTAATATTGCTTTATTTTCTGTTATTGGGAAGCAGTAACAAGTATTGCCTGAACACGATTCTGGAGCCAGACTCACTAGAGTCTAATCTCAGCTCTGGCAATTACTAGCTGTGTAAACTTGGAAAAGTTTTTTAACCTCTTTGGCTGCAGTGTCCTCATTTGTAAAATATTTGTTAAGTTCCAAATAAAGCAACTTTCATTAAATTATTTTCTCAGAAAATCCAGGGATTTATTTTTTAAGATAGATTATGTCTTATAAGATCTAAGGGGTGGAAAAACAGGACAGAAGAGAAAAAGTAACTTTTAAAAGTAGGCAAAGACAATCTGAAAGGGTTACAAATTGTATGATTACAACTATATGACATGATGGGAAAGGCAAAATTATGGAGTCAGTAAAAAAGTAGTTGCCAAAAGTTAGGAAGACTCCACTGCACCTGGCAGGTGT